ACATTTCCCCTTGATAGAGGAATCGATGACCGGGGGCTTAGATTCATGGTAAGGCGTAGAAGGTTTGGAGGTTATGTGAGGAGAAGCGTTTTCACCAAGGGTGATGAGAATCTGGAACTCACTGCCTGTAAGGGTGGGAGGGGCAGAAACTCTCACGACATTTAAGTGTGCACTTGCAGTGCCAAAGTAGACATAGTCATGGGCCAAGTGCTAGGAAATGGGGCTAAAATAGTTAGGGGCTATTTTTGATGAGTGCAGACTTCAAGGATTTGAATGCATGTTATACTGAAATAGTCTTCTGGGCTTCTGGATTGTTCGATTATCAGAACCATCACAGTGCTAATCCTCCTTTTATATGTGGTGGATTTAACTGAAACAAATGGAGTAACATGTTTTGTTTGCCCATTGAGACTTTATTAGAAACACCGGTCCAGCTTTTCAGCCAAAATGGTTATGATAACTCATTCGCTATTTAAAAATTCATTCATAAGTTTGAACTTTGCTGGAAAGGCTGCATTTATATCCCACCACTACTTGTCCTTGAGATGCTGGTGCCTGCTTCTCGAGTCATCTCAGTCCATGTGGTATGTGTTCAGCCACAGTACCCTTAAGGAGAGAGTTCCAGGACTTTGGCCCAGCAACAGTGAAGGAATGACGATATATTTCCAAGTCAGGATGGCGAGTGCCTTGCAGGGGACCTTGCAGGTGGTGGTGTTTGCATATATCTGCTGCTATTGACCTTCTAGGTACTGGAAGTTTGGAAGTTGCTGTCTGAGGACCCTGGTGAATTGCTTGCAGTGTATCTTGGTAGACACTGCAGCCAGTGTTTACCAGTGATGGAGAGAGTAAGTGTTGAAGGTGTTAAATGGAATGCTGATCAAGTTGGTGTTTTATCCCTGGATGGTGTTGAGCTTCCTTTAAGTGATGCACCCAATGGAGAGTATTCTGTCACACTCCTGACTAATGCCTGGCCAATGGCAGACAGGTTTTGAAGTTGAACGTGAGTTCCCCACAGTAGACTTGCTCTTTCTCTTATATTTACATGATTGATCCTGTTATCTGTACCCAGATGTTGATACAGCGATGGTCATGCCATTGAACATCAAGAGCAGGTGGTTGCTTTCTTGTTGGAGATGGCCGTTGCCTGGCAGTTGTGTAGTGCCACTTATCAGCTGAAGTCTAGGTCTTGCCTTTCCCTATGCAAGCAAGGCCTGCTCTAGAAATAGCCTCAAATAGCCCTGAACATTGGTACAACCAATGGCAAATATCCCCACCTCTGACCTTATGATGAAAGGAAGCTGATAGGCAGAGTAGCTAAAGATGGTTTGGCCACTTTTAATGGAGAAAGACTACATGAGGCTCTTGTGTTGCAGTAGTAATGTCAGGCCAGAAGATCTAGGTTCAAGTCCTACCTCTGCCCCAGAGGCGAGTAATAACTAACATCCCAAAAATATCTGGAGGAAGAGTGCAGAAAGCTTGTAGCACTTAGGAACTTGGGACACCTTGTTGCTGAATCACAAAAAGCTAGTATCCAAGTTCAGCAAGTAATAGGGAACGCAAATGGAATATTGACCTTTATTTTGAAGGGAATAGAGTATAAGAAAAACAGGGAAGTTTTGCCTAAACTCTAAAAGGCACTAGTCAGAACGTACCTAGAATACTCTGAACACTAAAATTTTAGAGTAGATTTGTAGCTCGGGTTGTGGTTGGTTGGCTCGCTGAGCTGGTTCGTTGTTGTTCCGCAGACGTTTCATTACCCTCCTGGGTAACATCATCAGTGCAGCTTCTGATGAAGCGCTGTTGTGTTTTCCCGCCTGTTATTTAAACTCTGGGGCCTGTTGAGCTGGATTACCTCACTTCCCGTTTTCCTTCGCAATGGAGTGTATATGGGGTCGAGTTCTATGTGTTTGACCTGGGACAAGCAAAGCAGAGACAAGCACAGGAGTTCCTAGAAGCCTGGTACTCCACAAAGAAAGCCATCAACAAACACACAGAACTCGACCCCATGTACACTCCATTGCGAAGGAAAACCGGAAGTGAGGTAATCCAGCTCAATGGACTCCAGACTTTAAATACCAGGCGGGAAAACACAACGGTGACTCATCGGAGGCTGCACTGATGATATTACCCAGCAGGGTAATGAAACGTCTGCAGAACAATGAACCAGCTCAGCGAGCCAACCAACCACAACATACTCTGAACAGTTTTGGTCCCCATATCTAACGAAGGATATCCTAGCATTGGAGACAGTCCAGAGAAGAGTGATTCAAGATACTGAAGGATTTTCTCATGTTGAGGAAATTGGACCCGTACTCTCTGGAGTTTAGAAGAGTGAGAGGTCACCTTATTGAAATATTTAAGATTCTTAAGGGGCTTGACATGGGTAGATGTGGAACAACAGTTTCTCCTTCTGGGTGAACCTAGGACAGAGGGCATAACCTCAAAATAACGAATGGCTCATCTAAGGCAGAGATGAGGAAGAATTTCTTCTTACAGAATGTAGTGAATCAGTGGAACTCTTTCCTGCAGAGCAAAGATGAGGCTGGGCTGTAAACATATGCAAGGCTGACCTGATATCATAAGACTTCATCTTTTGTGGGGTCAAAATTGAGGTGTCCCAGGGTCACTGCCTTTGGACAGTTCCATCACCTCTGGCAGGTCTGTCTTGCAAGTGGAACAGGCTATACCCAGGAATGGTAATGGAGGTGTCTGGAATGTTGTAAGGTAGGATTTGGTGAGTGTAGCTCTGTCAGGTAGCTGCTCAACTCATCTGAACAGGTTTCCAGATTGTGTCACAAGTCGCCAAATGTTAGTGAAGAGGATTTTACTGGGCAATTGCTGTGGGTCAAGAGTCACATGTAGGCCAGATCAGATAAGGATGGCAGACTTCCTTCCTTGAAGAACATTGACGTACTTGATAGGTTTAATTCCATGATTATTATTTTAATCTTGCCCCAAGGTAATTGTCTTTGTATTCCTTGCTTCTTTCAAACCAAGCTGTGATCTTCTTTCATGGGTGTGAGTGGCTGGGAGAAGTTCTTCAGCCAGATTATTCTCCCGTCCTTGTCTGGTCTGGCCTACATGTGATTCTAGACCCACAGTAATTGCCCAGTCAACCCTGCAAAATCCTAAAATTAATGGTAGTTGTTTTTTCCCTAGGATGGGGGATTTCAAGACTAGGGGCACATTTTGAGGGGAGAAGAGAGAGACGAGGCAATTTTTTTACATCAATGGTGGTCTTGTGTGTGGAATGAACTTCCTGAGGAAGTGGTGGATATGGGTACGATTACAACATTTTAAAGACATTTGGATAAGTACATGAATACAAAAGGTTTGGAGGGATATGGGCCAGGAGCAGGCACATGGGACTAGTTTAGTTTGGGATTATGTTCAGCATGGACTGGTTGGACTGAAGGGTCTGTTTCTGTGCTGTATGACTCTATGAATGAGGAGCAGGAACCGTAGAACCCTGCTTCATAAAGCTGAAGAAAAAGTTTGTTCCATGTATACCCACTTTTCAATACGGGCAATATGAAAGTCTCACTTCTGCAGCAATAACCACACTGTTCGTGTAGGCAGTTAAGATCCAATAATGCTACAATTTAACATGAGCTTGTTATTTTTATTTTGAACATAATTGTTGTTAAAATAATTCACTGTTTATTCTAAAACATATCTGTGAGTAGGCTTATAATTACAGTTTGTCTTTGTCCTTGTTCTAACAACATACTTGTACTGTATTTAGTCAGTCAAAGTCAATACAAGAACGCCTCATGAATGTATCACTGCTATAAATATTGGCAAGTGGTTCCAGGATTTTAAGTATGCAGTGGTGATCATTAATGGGGGAAAAGGCTTGCTTTTTATGTTTTGATGAATGCTTAAGATGGTCACAATGTCATTTATGAGGGACTTTAGAAATCCATATCACTCAAACCAGCCTTCCATCCACTGACTCCATCTGTACTTCCCACTGCCTCGGGAAAGCACCCAACATCATCAAAGACCCTTCCCACCGCAGTTATACTGTCTTCCACCTCGTTTCATCAGGCAGAGGATATGAAAGTTTGTATATATGTGCAGACGGATTCAAGAACAGCTTCTTCTCCACTGTTAACAGATTTCTGAATGGACCCCTCAAATTTTAAATCTAATGTTGATCTCGCTCTTTGTGCACTTTCTCTGCAGCCGTAACATTGTATTCCTCGCTCTGTTCGATTACCCTAGTGTACTTTGTATGGTATGATCTGCCTGTACTGCACACAAAACAAAACTTTTCACTGTACCCAGGTACACGTGACATTAATAAATCAAATCAAATCAAATCAGCAGAACCTCTACTGACATTAATTCTGACACAAAAGGAGATTGAGGAGAATTCAGGAATGTGGTTTCAGATATCAGAGAAAGATACTTGCTCGTTAAAGAAGAAATTTGACAGATTATGAATGGAATAATCAGAAACTGAGAACTTAATGAATAGCTCACTGAGAGAATCAGATATAAAAAGGAATGCAGCAGTTTTTTTTTATTCTTTAGTGGAAAAGAGGGCATTGTTGATCAGCCCAGAAGTTGTCCTACATCTCTGATTGATTGCCCCTAAACTGATTGGCTTGTTTGGCCATTTCAAAGGGCAGTTTGGACGTGACCACATTGCTATGGTTCTGCAGTCATATTTAGGCCAGATCAGCCAGGTGATAGACAATACCACTACATCACTGCTTCCCCTGTTCTCCTAATTAAGACATAAGGGGTAAATTTTATCTTGACTCAGGACCTGAGTCCACAAACTTCCTGCACAGAGATAGAAATGACAACACTGAGCAGCAGTGACACTGACATGTGTGCTGTTACTACATATTAGTCAATAACCTTTCTGTGGCTGCATTTGACAAGACCGTCCCAACACCCATGAAATTGTCCCAGTAGCAAAACCCTAAAGTGCTCTTGCAAGTTATTCAGCTCCTCATTAACTTTTTCTCCTTTAAAATCTGTTTCAGGACTGTGGACATTCCTGTGGTTTGTAGGCTTCTGTTTTTTGGAAAATCAATGGCAGCTCACTTCATTAAAGGACCTTCCCCTTAACCAAGGTGCTGACGCTGCTCGAGCTGCCATAGCCTTCTCCTTCTTTTCCATTCTGTCCTGGGTAAGTTCTACCAAGTGTTTCCGGTGCCATGTATTCTGAGTGCGCTTGCATCTGGAGTTAAAACTGTGCTCCTGTTTGTCCTGTCAAAATGCAGCAGGGAATCCAAAACCTGTATTCTCAGTATTCTGGGTTTAAGTTCTGCAATTGTCTCTCAAAATGTTTTAAATGTTGTTGATTCAGTTGATTTGGTTTTGAAGTGCTCGCAGGAAAAGTGATTGAGAGTATGATAATACGACACACTCTGTACAGTAAAGAAAATCACAAGAAGTAGGAGCAGCAATTCGGCCCCTTGACCCTGCTCTGCTACTCAATATGATCATGGCCAATCTCATCCCGGCCTCAACTCCACTTTCCTGCCTTTAATCCATTGCTGATTAAAAATATGCCTGTCTCCTCCTCAAATTTACCCAGTGGCCCAGCACCCACTGCGTTCTGGGGTAGTAAACACCACAGATTCATGACACTTTGAGAGAAGTAATTTCTCCTCCTCTCTGTTTTAAATCTGCTGCCCCTTGGCCCAAAACTACGACGGCTTATTCTAGATTGCCCCACAAGGGGAAAACATCCTCTCTCTGTCCACTTTGTCAACCAACTTTAGCATTCCATACACTTCAGTTAGATCGAGTATAGGAGTTGGGAGGTCATGTTGTAGCTGTACAGGATATTCGTGAGGCCACTTTTGGAATACTGCATTCACACGTAGTCACCTTGCTGTAGGTGGTTATGTAGAAGATATGTTATTTAATTTGAAAGGGTTCAGAAAAGATTTACAAGGATGTTGCCAGGGTTGGAGGGTTTGAGCTATAGGGAGAGGCTGAATAGGTGGAGCTATTTTCCCTGGAACGTCGGAGGCTGAGGGAGTGACATTATAGAGGTTTATAAAATCATGAGGGGCATGGATAGGGTAAATAGTCAAGGTCTTTTCCCCCGAGGTGGGGGAGTCCAAAACTAGACAGCATAGGTTTAAGGTGAGAGGAGAAAGATTTAAAAGGGACCTAAGGAGCAACTTTTTCACGCAGAGGGTGATGTGTGTATGGAATGATTTGCCAGAGGAAGTGGTGGAGGCTGGTACAATTACAACATTTAAAAGGCATCTGGATGGGTATATGAATAGGAAGGGTTTAGAGGGATATGGGCCAAATGCTGGCAAACGGGACTAGATTAGTTTAGGATATCGGGTCGGCATGGACGAATTGGACCGAATCTGTTTCCATGCTGTACAACTCTGACTCTATGACTTCCCTCCTCCTTCCAGGGATTATTGCCTAAACTGCTCAATCTCTCTTCTTAAATCAAATCCCTCGTCCACCCCTCAAAGTCTGAATCTTCAGAAGGTAGGATGTATTTAACCATATCTTCTACATAACGACCTCCTTTTGAAATCATCTTTCTGCTGCCACTAAAGTGTAATATCCCACATTTTTATTTAATGTTTCTTTCAAAATAAATCTTATTTTAACACAAAAAAAAATGAGCTTGGCACAACTTGGCTTGCTTTGTCAAAAGCTCTTTCTTCTGCACTCACCTTGGCTTAACACTGGTGATAGGTTTTTATTGTTCGGTGTGTCCTTTTATAAACCTGAATATTTGGTTTTTTTTTCTCTTTTCCCAAATCTTCCTTCTCCTCCTGATGGCAATGATTCTTTCATTGCATATTTTGGCGGGTATTGTCAGTTCTCCAACGTACTGGGTCATCATGGGTGGCATGGTGGCTCATTCTCCAGTGACTGTCTGTGTGGAGTTTGCACGTTCTTCCTGTGTCTGAGTGGGTTTCCTCCCAAAGTCCAAGGATGTGAAGGTTAGGTGGATTGCCCAAGCTAAATTGTCCTGTAGTGTTCAGAGCTGTGTAGGCTCAGTGGATTAGCCATGGGAACTACAGGGTTACAGGGACAGAGTAGGGGATAGGTCTGTGTGGGATGCCCTATGGAGGTTTGGTGTGAATTCGATGGGCCGAATGGTCCGCTTCCACAGTGTAAGGATGTTACGATCATCAGCAGTGAGAGCACAGGTTGGGAAACAAAACTGCAACAACCCTCCAATCCATATAGCCATAAGTAACACGGTGAACAGTGCGTGCATGGACTGATGTTTGTACAGTTTTTAATGCTGTACCAGTCTGGAAAAGGGGGTACTATTACCCTCAGGGAAATGTATGAGTCTTTAATAAATGATGCAATAGTGGAGCATTTAGAAATACATGACATAATCAAACAGAGTCAGCATGGCTTCACAAAGGGGAAATCATGCCTGAAATATTTAATACACTTCTTTGAGGAAGTAACAAGCAGGATAGATAAAGGGAAACCAGTAGATGTGAAATATTTGGATTTCCAAAAGGTGTTTCATAAGGTATCGCACATAAGGCTATTCATTAAGATAAGAGCCATGGCGTTTGGGGTAGTAATTTTGCGTATATAGAGGATTGGCTAATCAATATAACACAGGGTGGCTCTCAGTTCCAGGGACCTGGGTTCGATTCCAGCCTTGGGCGACTGTCTGTGTGGAGTTTGCACGATCTCCCTGTGTCTGCGTGGGATCCTCCAGGTGCTCCAGTTTCTTCCCATAATCTAAAGAAGTGCAGACTAGGTGGATTGGCCATGCTCAATTGCTCGTAGTATTCAGGGATGTGCAGGCTAGGTAGGTTAGCCATGGGAACTGCAGGGTTACATGGAGAAGGTAGGGGGATGGGGGTGAGTCAGTGTGGATGTGATGGGCCAAATGGCCTGCTTCCATACTGTAGGGATTCAATGATTATCACCAATTTTGTGAATGACACAAAAATAGATGGGAAGGCAAGTGTTGAGGATGACAGAGTCTGCAGAGAGATATAGACAGGTTAAGTCCGCGGGCAAAAACTTAGCAAATGGAATATCATGTGAGAAAATGTAAGATTATGCTTTTTGGCAGGAAGAATAGAAGAGCTGAATATTTAAATGAAGAAAGAATACATAAGGCTACAGCATAAAGAGATTTTAGACTCCTCATGAATGATACGTTAAAAATTAGCATACAGGTCACAGCGCCAGGGACCTGGGTTCGATTCCACCCTCGGGCGACTGTCTGTGTGGAGTTTGCATGTTCTCCCTGTGTCTGTGTGGGTTTCCTCCAGGTGCTCCGGTTTCCTCCCACAGTCCAAAGATGTGCAGGTTAGGTGGATTGGCCATGCTAAATTGCCTGTAGTGTTAAGGGGTGTGTGGGTTACAGGGGGATGTGTCAGGGTGGGATGCTCCAAGGGTCGGTGTGGACTTGTTCGGCCGAAGGGCCTGTTTCCGCACTGTAGGGATTTTATGATCAGCAGCTAATAGGTTAGACAAATGGAATATTGGCCTTTATTTCAAAGGGAATGGAATATATAAATAGGGAAGTCTTACCAAAGCTAAACTAGTCAATAGTTAGACCACAGCTGGAAAACTGTAAACTATTTGGGTCCTTTTATCTAAGGAAACATATACTGGCATTGTACGCAGTCTATAGAAGGTTCAGTTGATTGATCCTGGGTATGGAGGCATTTTCTTTTGAGAGATTGAGTATTTGAGCCTGAATTCATTGAGTTTAGAAGAGTGAGAGACAACCTCATTAAAACATTTGAGGCTCTTGGAGAACGTGGCAGTGTAGATGCAGAGAGGTTGTTTCCCCTCGTGGGAGAGTCTAGGACCAGAGACTATAACCTGGGAGTAAGGGGTCACCAAGGTACGTCAGAGGTGAGGAGGAATTTCTTCTCCCAGAGAGTAATGAATCTGTGAAATTCTTTATTCCAGAGGCCTGTCAAGACTTGTTCACTAGTATATCCAAGGCTGAGTTAGGCAGATTTTTAATCAGGAAGCGGAATCAAGGGTTGTAGGGAAAAGGCAGGAGAGTGAAATTGAGGATTATTAGATCAGCCATGATCTCATTGACTGGGGGAGCAGGCTCAATGGGCTGAGTATCCTACTTCTCTTTCTACATCTTATGGCTTATTGTACAAAAAAGAATCAAATAAAATTCAGCCCTTAAAAATCTGGGTTATTCTCAGTCATTTTTCTTCAAGGCAGAGTCATTTCACAGAATTTGCAATTTATGGGCATTCTGAGATCTAAAAAACAGAACTTAAGATCAAAACAGAGTCACAACAGATGCACGAGTGTGTATGTAATATCTGTACATTTCTGTTATTTGGAATTGATACCTGTTCTTCCATCACGTTTTGTTTTCAGGGTTACCTGACTCTCTTTGCCTTCAACAAATTTAAAAATCTAGGATTTGTGGAAGATGTCGAAAGGCTTGTACCTCAGCCTTCAGCATCTGCACAAGTGTAGACTTGTCTTTACAAACTGACGACTCTCTCCCCCTTACAGTATACCGTTTTAACATCATTAACACATGAGATGATCTTTAAATTATTAATAATGTCTTTTTTCAGACAGTGCTGTAATGAGACCAGGTAATGAGCTGCTCAGTGCCTGATATCCTGCCTAACCCAGACACTTAATTGTGTCGACAGCTTGATTTTTTAATACATTTTACAATTGGTTGACTTCATTTCTTGCGAGCTGAAACACCAACTTAACCACATCAGACTTCCTCAAAACAAGTTTGGAATTTGAAACTTCCTTTAGCTTTTGAGGGGGGGGAAAAAAGACTGAGAAAACAAAAGAATAAGGGAAATGTATTTGTTTTCACAGTTTTGTGTTAATAACCACCCACAAAAGTGGAAGAATGTCAGACACAATGGATTGTTGTAATTAAATCACGTATAATAAAGATTCGGGTTCTATAAATTATCCATTTGGGATGAGCTTATTACCTTGTGCTGGAATTGGAATCATTTGAATCGTCATTTTTTTATTTTTAGCACTTTGCCAAAGCTCAACCTGTCCGTCTAACCCTTTTACAAACTTGTGCCAAAATTGGGAGAGTTTGCTGAGGGGGTATTCAGGGTGTCTTTGTCATGAACACGAAATCATATATATTTTAATCTCGTAATTTCTACAAGTCATCCTCTGGTTTCAAATCTTTACCAGTTTCTTTTAAATAGTTTAAGCTTCAAACTGAAACAGCTTAGTTTAGCTTAGGTTGAGTGCAGCTTTTTATTGAAAGAAGTCACTCACAGGATATGTTTGTCATTGGCCAAGCCAACATTGCCCATTGCTAGTTACTCTTTACACAGTGATGCTGGCCAATCCTCTTGAACCCTTGCAGTCCATACAGTGTAGGGCAGAAGTTCCAGATTTTGACCCAGCAACAGTGAATGAATGGTCACATATTTCCAAATCAGAACTTGTGAGAGGACTGAGGAGGTGATGCTATTCCTACGCATTTGCTGCCTTCGTGTTTTCAAGTGATAGAGGTCACAAGTCTGGGAGATGGCATCAAAGATGCTCAGACAGTCAACTCCAGTAGATCTTGTTTATGTTACACACCGCAGCCACAACGTTACTAGTAGCGGAGGGAGTGAATGCATAATGTCAACAATGGATTGCCAATCAGGAGAGATTGGTGTCTAAGTACTGATTTGGAAAGTGGACAATATTCTGTCACACTCCTGACATGTACCTCATAGGTAGTGGACAGGTTTTGGGAAGTCAGGAGGTGAATTATTTATCAGAGAATTTACAGCCTCCGACTAGCTCTTGTGGCCGGATTTATTTGGCTGATCCAGTTCACTTTCTGGTCAATAGTAACCCTCAGGATGTTGATTGTAGGGGATGTGGTGTTAAATGTCAAGAGAAGGTGTTCAAACTGTCACTCGTTGAAGATAGCCTTTATCACTTGTGTGATAAAGACATTTATTTACCGCTTATCAGCCCAGGTCTGAATGTTGTCCTGTCTTGCTGCATATACAGTCAGAATTGAGTATGTTCACGGATGTTTTTGTTTGATGTTCAGCATCATTTATGACTCCTCAGATACTGAAGCATGCTCAGATGCAACAAGATCTTCTCAATATTCAGGGCATGGTTGATAAGTGAAGCAATTCCTCCTCATCTCAGTCCTAACTGGCTAAGGGCAGGGACAATAGATGGTAATCAGCAGGTGGTTTCCTTGTCCCTGTTTAACCTGATGCACTGAAACTTCATGATGTCCAGAGTCAATGTTGTGAACTCCAGGAATCATTGCCTCCTCACTGTACATCACTGTACTCCCATTTCTGGAGGGTCTGTCCTTGGGGAAGACATAGCCAAGGATTGCACTGGCCAAGTTGAGGATGACAGACTGAAAGATATGATTTGGAGGCAACATCTTTCTCAGATTGCTACTCAACCAGTTTATCTGACACCTTTCCCAATTTTGGCGCAAGTTTGCAGGGTTTGGTGAGGAAGATGCAGGGTCGATTGGACAGGGTGTCTTTGTCATGGCTACAAAATTGTATGTATTTCAATCTAGTAATTTCCATGTCATTCCCTGATTGGTGTCGATCTGCCCTATGTTTTCCAGCTATGGTAGACATGATGTGTAGGTGCTGGCGTTGGACTGAGGTGGAGAAAGTCAGAAGTCACATGACACCAAGTTATAGTCCAACAAGTTTATTTGAAATCACAAGCTTTAAGAGCGCTGCTCCTTCGTCAGGTCACCCGACGAAGGAGCAGCGCTTTGAAAGCTTGTGATTTTAAATAAACCTGTTGGACTGTAACCTGGCATCATGTGACTTCTAGCTATGATAGAATGATAGCTAACCAAGCATCCCAATAGATGTTTTATCCTAGTATTGTTTTCTGTGAAGAATAAGCAATAATTTAAAAATGAGTTACTGCTGGAATTTCGCTGACGGAAAATTGAATTGCTTTTCAAACCAACATGGTTTAAAAAATTTTTAAGTTCATAAAATGTATTAAGTAAATGTGACATTTGAATGTGCTACTAATGGTCTGTCTTGGCTAGATGTTGTGTAATTTCTGACCATGCCCACCCCAGTCGCACACTAACACCTCCACATCTTGGTCAGATATAAGGTGTGATAAGAGTTTCCACAAAAGTACAGAACTAAAATCCTCTTGTGTTTTGGGTTATTCAATCCATCTCATTAATTTATTTTCAGTGTAGCAGTGACCTATGATTCAACTTAGTGTCTGCGCAAAGAAATTATAATGATCCAATTGTCTTTTCCTTTATGAAATTGATAGCTAACATCTTGCTTGTCCAATGTAAATTGAGTTCCATGTCATGCAGACAATGCACCCCTAGACTATGCAATCAATATCCTCACATCAAAGTTGGCATGCACTGACACGACAATAGATCAATGAAGTTAAAATATAAATATAATAGCTAATAATCAACATGTTTCAGTGTGTTTAGGTAGAAACCGAATTCCAGACATAGTTGATGAAAATAAGAGATCAGCTGTTGCACTTTAGCTTGTAAAATTATCTAAACTTCATTCGGATCACTGCATTGCTATTTTGTGATGGCTATACCTTTATTGCCTGTGATTGCAGATTAATTTTTCCAAGCCATTGTTACATGCATATACAAAACAAGATTGAAGTCCTAAACCAGAACAAAACCATGAATGAATTAGCAAACTCTATAATCTCCACATAATCAGCCCCTGTCGGATAATAATGAGCAACAACATGATTTGACTAACAGAATCATCCCCTTTGTATTAACTGCATAACTTTACAATGCTACGCCTACTCGGTTCTAGTTACAGTACACTAACAAGCATTTCTTAGTCCTTATTTTAATTAATCTCATTAAAGGCTGGCCTAACCCTGAAGGCATGGCAGAGGTACCTCCTGGGGGCTGACTCATCCCTGTTCTCCCAAGATCAGTTGGACACTGGCCATCCTCCATACAGCACCGGAATTGAAAACGCAGACACCTTTCAGAGTCCACCGTTTGCTGAAAACCTGGATGCAGTCTCCTCGGGATATCAGATGCCCCCATATTAAAGGCTGAAGGCCTTGCTTGACGTTTTAAAAACCACAGTGTCCCTTACTTTGGCCTAGATAGTTTTCCGATCCAGCCTATCAAATATCTGATCCGATCTCATTGCCTCTGCCTATCATCCGAGCCCTTTGCTCAAGCTGCGAGATGCGAGGTCAGCCGAAAAGCACCTGGTCGACTTTCTTGGTCAGTGATTGTGGGTGATTTTCACAAAGATTAAGTAAAATGTTTCAATAGTCTTGAAGGATTTTATCAAGATGCATTGGAGATTTGATATTTAAACTGAAAGCTATGTGGGCCAATGAAAAAGGGATGCTGGAATACAGATATTTTATCTGTGGTGCAGTGTTGTTCACTGGTTGGTTAGCTGCAAGAGTACTAAAGTGCTGTTGAAGATCATTAGGCTTTTCGTGTGCTAAACTGATGTAAGGTAACCTTTCTTTTAGATAATAGTGCAGTGTACTCACTATATTAGTGGTGTTGTCATTCCTGTATTAATTGTAGTATGCAAGTTGGAAAAGCAGCCTCTTCCAACATCAAAGCATTTATTTAGTGTTCTTAGAAACCTTCTTCAATTTATTTGCCGTACCTGTGAGCTCATGATTAGCTGTTCCACAACATGTGCCAGATTATCTAGTTGTGTGTAACTGTATAAAGCTTTAACTTGTTAATCTTCAGAGCTAAGTGGGGATGTGAACTTAATCTGTACTCCTGCTTCCGTTTAATTGCATTGGTGACAAACTTATAAACATGAATAGAAGAACTTCAAAACAAGTCTGCTGCACCTTTCAATCGGTACCATCGGAAATATTTTCAAATACACTTTTATACCTGTGAGTGCAGATGTCTTACGATACAAATGAACAGCATATTACTCAAAAGTGGTATTGGTTGTAACTTCAGTAAAACTTAGTGCCCCTCACTATATAATCTAAGGTTCGTTGTGTGTCTTTTGTATAGTGTAATCATTCTTATTATAGGTTACTTAATGGAATTGGACATAAGCAAATTTAGAGTAAATTGTGGATAACCAGAGGGTTAAACTCACTGCATACCAAGGGACAGGGTCTTTAGGACCTCCCCGAGTGCGCCCAAATTATTCAGAAAATGTGGCGTCAAAGTGTGCTTGAACCCTTCTGACTAGGAACATCTGAATGTAATTATGTACGAGACATCCTTTTGAGATGTGTATGTATACTGCCAGTCAGGTAAGTCTCAACTTACAAATTGAACTTTAGCCTTTTCACCAGCATGAAAGCTTTGTATAACAAAATAATGCCAGAACAATAAAAAGTGCAATTTTGACTTTGTTACTATCCCTGTGAGGGAGCCATAAACCAAAATATAGAAATTGACCAAATGACACGCACCCCTCACACCTCCATCGCCCAAAAAAAACTGAAGAAATTCTCAAAATAAAAACTGAAAGAACTGCGGATGCTGTAAATCAGTCACTCAACCCAAAGTGTTAACTCTGGTTTCTCTCCATAGATGCTGCCAGACCAGCTGAACTTTTCCAGCAATTTCTGTTTTTGTTGTTGAAGAAATTATCAACAAGATTTCACTCACTTATAGCTTTTACATTAATGTGATGCAAATTACACAGGCTAATTTATACTTTAAATAAGAAGGTAAATTTCACTTTAAATAGCTGATATACCAGATATATTTTGCATGACCATAATCAATCACATCACCCCCACTCCCTGCAACAATGCAATACTATTTGCTTCTCGTTACACAACATTCTGTACTTTATCCATATAGAGGAGGTCCGGGAAACAATACAACAGGTTTCATCTTTGAATTTCACAGGTATGATTATCATCAGTAAGGCACACTTCTACAAGCCTTTTTTTTTTTTAGATCATAACATTCCTGATGGTGTAAATTTCCAGAGTTCTTTTTCAACTGACCCAATAGCACCCTAATTCACAGTTTGTCCGCTTGTCGGAAAATGCCCAGTTCCTTTGTGTATCCGAGCTATTCCCGGAGCTTTCCAATCCTAACCCTTTTAGCCAGCTCAGAGTACCTGTCAGAATCCCTGCCTCCTTTACTACCAAACAGAAAAGACTCTTTTCTTGTAGCATAGCTGCTTTGTTTTGTGATAAACAGCTTATTTTCCTTACTTCTACAAAGCCAAACTTAAGTAAATATTCTTTGATTGTATAAATGTTTTATAAAGGGTAATAAAAATTGCCACTCATCTAATAGATAAAACTTGACTGTTTCTGTAAAAACATTGTTAAGGACACGGTTTGCCTGCATCGGCTGCAGTAGTGTATTAACACATTAGTCAAAATAACTCCTATCTATTAGAAACAGCAAATCGACGCATCATCTGCCATACAAGTCCCGAAGGCCAATAAAGTGCAAGGAATTTTTTAAAAAAACAGCAATCTCAGGAAACATTCTTAGGAGATTTCGACCTGACTTCAAATGCTTTCAAGTGAATTTGTAGAGCCTTACGTTACAGATAACACATCCATAAATAGCATAAAAAATTCTTTAAGACATACCCTTTCACATTAGTCACTTGTTTGCATTAAGGGGTATGGAAAAGAGTGTTCCACCCTTCCCAAAGATCAGATTTCTTTCCTCTTGCAAATAGAGTGAATAAACATATATGCCAAAAGTTTGGTCAGCACCTTCTAGCACTCTTTGCATCCATTGTAACCCTGGATAAGATATTCGACATGTTTATCAATTTCTACATGAATATATTTTAACTGTGTTTCTACCTTATTGTAATTGTGCATTCATGTTTTCTGACCTAATCTGAATACATGGCAAGTCTGAGAGACAATATCCTTTATAAAGGTGATGTTGCGGATTGAATTTGCGATAAATATCAACGACTTCTCCACCCCCGCCCCCCCTCACACAACCGTGGTTTGTGGTAGCAGCTTCCACTTTGCTAAACCTTCCATCTTTATGTTCCTTTCTCCTAATATTGTCCCAGTTGGAAAGAAGCAACACCCCAGCAGTAATCCTATATTGCAATTCATTTTTGTAGTTTCTGAGACAGGTGTCTCCAAAAGTGGTAGCGAGTACAATTAGTCAAACAGAATGTTAGTGGCTATGAAGTAAGGGAAAGTTTGCCAGGAAACCAATATAGAAGCTGCTTCTCTCTGAAACTACTTTTAGACTGCAGCTGGAAAGTGCCAGTAACAATTTGTAAGGTTTTATTTTAAACAAAGCTGCAAATTAACATCACAGTGAGATTTGAAATGAATAATAGCTATTAACATGCCACCGAATTTATCCTTTAATTTCATTATCTCACAGAAATACATGTGAAGTTTTTCTTTTGGGACTATTTTATTCACACACGTGATTGTAGCCGATTGGATAGGTATCACTATCCATCAAACCTATTCCTGGAGCAATGTGACCTATGATTTTTACCCTGTAAATGATGACGTTTGTTGTCACAGTAATCCTGTTCCGAGCTTAATTCCAAAATCCTCTGGAAATTAATTTAAAGATACTGCAGTGAGTGTAATGACAGTTCAGGGACCTGAGAAGCAAATTAGTCATATGATGTACCTCATCTGCATGAATTAAGTATTGGGCATGACCTGACTTGTAGATATCTGAGTCTTAAACCTGAGCACTTGATCAGAAAGTTAAGTTAAGGAGGCAGTCAGCTACTGTTTTCAGGAACATTCTAAGTCACAGTTTTCTTTTAATTAACTTACCTAGATGCTGAAACTAGTAACTACCAAAAATTGCGGCAAATGTAGACGTCTTTTGCCCTTTTCATGGATGTGAAATGGGAGGGAGAAAATGATCCAATTTCTGGAATTATATCCCACATTTCAGTAACATCTGAGGCCCATCTGTACTTCCAGCACATATTGGATTGGGTCATGGTCTGACCAGTTTCCATAAAGGTAGTGTTTAAGACCAATAATGTTAAGACAAGTTTTTTTTTTTATTATGGTATTACCTTTGTGTGGTGCAGAATGAGCAGGAGTACTGCTGACTACACAGCTTATCTGCGGAACCTTGAAGGGCTCTTGTGACATAGCGGTAGTGTCCCTACTTCTGTGCCAGGTGGTCGGGGTTCGAATCCCACCTGCTCCAGAGCAGTGTTATCTAACATTGATGAATAATTCAAACCCAGAAGAGATTCCAATGAGGACAGAAATATCAATATGTGGGAATTCATCTCCTTATTCCTTTCTCTTCCCATGTACAAGCAATGCTTCCCAGGTCATCCCTGTGGCAACCCCAACTTGGTGTTAGCTAAGAATTGTTTTTTTTTTAAAAATCATGGAACAGCAGAGCTTTTGATTAACTTGAATCGATTACTTTGAAATTACATATTTGAATGCAGTCATCTGCACAATATTTTTTCAGTCTTGAGTGGCTACAATACCAGCAAATGTGCAGTCATCACTGATTTAATGGGGACTGAACCTTACAATAATCACCTTTTCCTGGATTTTTTTGTTCATAAACAGGATGAGGGCATCACTGGTTAGTCCAGCATTTCTTGCCCATCCCTAATTGCCCAGAGGACAGCTCAGAGTCAACCACATTGCTGTGGCTCTAGAATCACATGTAGGCCAGACCAGGTAAGGATGGCAGTTTCCTTCCCTAAAGGACATAGGGAACCAGATGGGTTTTTTCCAACAATCAACAATGGATTCATGGTCATCATTAGACTCTTGAACTCAAATAAAAAAATTTAGTATTAAATTCCACCATCTGCCTTGCGAGGATTTGAACATGGGTCCCAGGAGCATTACCTGGGTTTCTGGATTAACAGTCCAGCAATAATACCACTACGCTATACTAGCCATTTTGGCATGTAGATCGTTGCAAATGTCCCAGGAAATTGCCAGGCAGCATGAGTACCGATGTAACTCACTCGCACCTTTATTTCCTGGTGCACTCCAACAGTAACAACTGACATGCCATTTAGCATCATCAAATTCCTTTGCTCCAGAATAAAGATGAAACTGTATTTTCCCGTTTGGATCCTGTTCAGGGTGAGCCACTGTTAAGTTGATTGACTGTGAAGATGAATTCAGCTCTCCTCCCTCCATTGACTGCATATGCATTGAATTCGAAATCCTTATTCTTGTTTTTAAATGCCGCAGGACAAGCTCATCCCACTCTGTCCCTGTAATGTCCTCCATTGCTGTTTTCAGTTCTGACATTCTGTGTACTTATGCCTTTCCCCTACTGCAGTATCAATGACATATGTCTAAACTCTGAAACGCTCCTTCAGATTGCCACTTTAGGAAGACTCCTCTCAAAATTGAACTCCTTGATGCCTTGAGTCATTTCCCATTCCTTTACTTGTACAACCCAATGCCTTCTTCCCTGTTCTACTCTACAGAGCACCTTTTGAACATTTACTCTTAAGTGCTTGAAAAGTGAAAGTTCTTGATAGCTTCTTAAAGCTTTGTTAGTTTGCCTTTAAGTTTCTGTAAGCTGTTTACCATAGTGCCAAAACCAGAAAGCACTTAGAGTCATCTTTGAGTGTTCATTAACATAAGCCATTTGTTGTAGTGAATAAATTCTTGTGGGTCAAATTCCACTGTGTGTTACACTTATCCCAAGAATAGAGCCTGAGTAACTGCTTATTGGATAATTGTAAAGCTTTTGCTTAACCCTTCATGACCTCTATTTGTACAGTCGTGCTTTTATTGGTGCACTGCATTGTCTGAACTTTCTGTTACTTTCCTTGTGTAGCTGGCTGACAAAAGCCACAAACTAATTGTTGCCAAACTCAAGCACTTGGTGATATTTCATGGATAAGTGCAAATTCTGTTATTGTTTTGTTCTATATTGCTGCAGCATAACGAAGATGTACGAAACGGCCACGTTGTCACAAACAACTTTGTAGTTTCATGTTTCACTTGTATTTTCTTCTTAATTTCAATTGTTTTCTCTGAGTTAAAGGTTTCCGTTTTGAAACCATCAAGCTGAAGCCACAATTACGTGGAACACCACCCATCCAATTAAAAGTCCATTGAAATTCCACAATGAGTATGCGGACTGAGAATTCAGTGTAAGAAAAAATAACTTAGCCTTTTTGTTTAGAAAGAAATGTAACCAAATGGGTTGATTGATTAATGAGAAAAGGATAAATAATTCCAACCCAGAAGAGATTCCAATGAGGCAAGCTGGTGTACTTTGTGGTAAACCCCTCTTCACTGAAGATCACAGTCATAAAGTATGGTACAGTAACAGTGATGTTTATACTGTGTTAAAATGTACAAAATGAGTGTATGGCAAAAAAAGTACAAAAATTTAAAAGTGAATCGACTGTATTTACATTTTTGTTTACTTGTTCTCAAAGAACAATGTTCTGTTATTGTGACGATCAGTAACCTTGTGCTGGTGTACAATGAATTCTCAATAAAGACGTGTCAGTGCACATAAATAATGGCTGTTGGACTCTTTTTTTTTTATTGTAGATCCCTCTTGTTTTTCCTCTAGACTCTGGTTTGGAACACATTTGGGATCATATCCGTTTTGGATCATTATTCTAACTCCGAAATCCATGTAGTTGTAGTTTCTGAAAGCCCGCACTGAGATCAATGAGAGGACAATTGGAATTGTGTGAAAGCATCAGGTTCGAGGTCGATGGCCTGCTCTTTCTTAAAATCCAAAAAGAACACAAAGAGACCATTTGGCCCATTATGTGACTGCCAGCCATTGGTTCAGCCCTGCAGAGTGGAATGCTTTTTGGATGGTTGGTGCACACTTGATGGGCCGATGGCCTCTTTCCATACTGTGGAGATTCTATGACCTCCGTAGCTATTCCCCAATCACCCTGCAGTCTTTGACCTTCCTGGTTAAAAGCTCAAATATAGAATTTTTTTTTCTCTGAAGAAGGGTCCAGGCCTGAAACGTCAGCTTTCCTGCTCCTCTGATGCTGCTTGGCCTGCTGTGTTCATCCAGCTCCACACCTTGTTATCTCAGATTCTCCAGCATCTGCAGTTCCTACTATCTCTTAGAATGAATAAAACTTGGGATTTAAGTTTGCATAATTAAATACAAAAACCTACAATCTCATACATCACAAAATTTAATTTAATTGTTCTAATTATTTATCTTCGATCCTTACCTTGATATTTACCTTTGATACTGCGTTGAGTTCCCTTGGGCTCAGTCTCTCTTTGCCCCTCCACGTTTACTGCAGTTTCATTTGCACAACCCCCCTAGTGTTTGTTGGCTGTGCTTTGCTCACTCTGCTCTGCGTAAACCTCAAACCTCACAAGATTTCACGTTGTTAATCGCAAGATCGAGTTTGTGGTAGGTGTACACACTGGACTTCCATTTGTACTGATATATCTCCATACACATTAAATGATGAAACAATGCATAAAAACCCTAGGAAGGTGATACTCAATGCCTCTCTAGTACTGGCGTTTCTCTGTTATTCAGCAACTGTCTTTCACTTGTGACCCTGAACAACAAGTATAAGATAGCCAGTCAATTGCGAGCAGCAGTCAAATTGTCATCAACTATCTCCGCTTGACATCTTCCTGTGTACCTAGAAAAGACTATGTGCCAACAGGAAACCGTTACCACTACGTTCCTGATAGCTATTCGCCACCTTCAAGTGAATTTTCATTATTCTTTTCTTCTTATATACCCAACATGGGAAAATGTGAGTCAGTGTCACATTGCATTGCAAGAAGGGTTGGTTATTTTCCCTTTGTGGGATAATGTGAGGGAAAAATCTCAGTTTAAGAGGTCACCCATTTAAGACCGAAATGAGTAATTTCTTCTCTCAGAGCATAGTGCATCTGTGTATTCTTTACTGCAGAGGGCTGTAGAGGCTGGGTCGTTCAATATATTGAAGGCTGAGATAGATTTATAATCAGTAAGGCAATGGAGGCCTGTGAGGAAAGGCAGGAAGGTGGACGTGAGGATTAATTGGATCAGCCATGATCTCAGTGAATGGAAGAACAGATTTGATGGGCTCTTTCTGCTCCTAAGTCTTATAATCTTAAAGTGTTGCAGGACAGTTGAAGCAAAGTATTATTTTGTCCATACGTGTTAGATAGCTATGATGGAACACCTTGTATTTACACCAGACAGACCACAGGATGTCATTTACCGATGAAGCTTAAGTTACTTTTGCCATCATCACCACGTGTTTTAATGGTCAAAATCAGAGGCGAAAGAAGTCCTACTTAATATACTGTGTCCATATGGGTAGATGGGTCAAGTTGTCATGGTTTTATCTGGCGAAGGTCAGCTGAATTAGCTGTAAAAGCAGGTCAAAGTGAAGAGCAGGTAACAACAAGTTTGTTAAAGTTTAAAATCTAGGTAATATTTCATTAAGATTTCAGTCCTTGCGTATAGTTGAAGGACGTGATTTTTCACATACATTCTGTATTTCATAGAATTCATATAGTGAGGGAGGAGGCCATTTGGCCCATCCAGTCCACACCAACCCTCCAAAGAGCATCCCACCCCATACCCTATCCCTGCATTTGAAAATGTTGCAAAATTTTGCAAATCACACCTCTGCTATGCAATTGTTGATGATTTTACTAAACTTTCTTTTGCTACGGGCCAGTTGCTCAAGCAACACTGCAAGATAGCTCTTTTCAAAAAAAAACTGGTATTTATCCGAGAATGTTAAAAAACACATAATGTTGTCTGGATTCTAACATATTCCATAAACTCTTGCGATGTCATCACATGCTACAAAATGCATCCCAAATTCTCATTCAAATAATTAGACATTTATGTAAATTATCAATTATTTTCAAATTGGAAAGATGGTTAATGAATAGGAGCAAAGTAAATTTAAACATTTTTCTGAGGCTAACTTCACATGCAATTTATTCAATAATCAGATCATCTTTAATAATATTTGTCATCTGATTGAAACAAGTTGGTACTCAGAATATCAATAGACAGCTTCCAGCTTCCATTGTTGTACATTACATGAGGTATTTGACCCTTATTTATAACTACAAGATAGAACAAAATTATAGATACTAAAAACGTATTTTAATTTCTAACCAGATCTTTTAAAGTTATCCCATTGCGAAAGTCTCTGCAAGAATGGCATACTTTATACAATATACTAAAGAATCTTATGAGTGCACTTCCAACTTACGTTAAGAAAAGTCCCAATGTAAACTTGTCTGTTGTAATTAATACCTTTGGCCAGTATTGGTTCTGATTGAGGAAGTCAGTGGTCGCAGACGGAAAATAGAGTAGGAGTGAATGGGTCCTTTTTTGGGATGGCAGGGCATAATTATGAAGTACAAGGATCAGTGTTTGGGCCTCTGCTCTACTTTGAAAAAGGGTCATGAGATCTTTTAGACCCATCCAGATAGGTGGGGCCTTGATTCAGCATCTCAAATGAAAGATGACCCCTTATTCCTCTCTGTGCAACACTGCCACAGTACTCCATGTAAGTGTCAACCTTGATTTTTGTACATAATGCTGGGAGTTAGGCTTGAATTCAGAACTTCATAACTTAGAGGCAAGAATGATGTCAACTGAACCAATCTCATATTCTAGTTAAAGATTGAACAAACTAGTAACAATGAAATACGTATTTTGCAGCCTCACTGACAGCATTTTTATGCATACACAGCCTTTACAGAGCCTCTCTCCTTCCCATCTCACCTTCTGACTTCACTTACACTCATTAAATGCCAACTGTTTACCTTCTTTATAGAAATGCTTCTTCCCTCTGTCTCAACCTAACTATTATTCTGAAGACGAATGACTTTTTTCCCTTAACCACCCATTTCCTAGTTCCTGGAGATTCCCTAACATGCATCAAACCTCCTTTCCCTCATCTGCACACTCACTGGCCCAGTCAGCAAGACTCCTTTAGTTCCTCCTAATCAATTTACACTGCCCTCTGTCCCGTTCTTTCAAATGTCTACCTCTCTCTCTGAAACCCCTTCCCAACCTTATAGCCAAAACTCCATCTCAGCAGACTAACAGAAACTGGGATTGCAGATTGTACCTCAGTCCCCCAGAACAAGTCAGAGGTGTCTGCTTTCATGGTCTGCCAGATCCCTTCCACCCCCCACAGCCCACTGACCCAGCCCCTCCTCAACATTCAACCCCTAAACTGTGTTCCACTCCTCCCAACTTTTCTTTGAAGACCTTATCCTCTAACACTCCCCAACTTCATGCCTATCTCACCGAATGCTCCACCAATTGGGCCCCCACTATAACCTTTTCTATTACAACATAGAGCTAAGAGGTACACTATATTGCATTCTAAGGTAGATTCCAAACTTCATATTACGTAAATTACCCTGCCCCGCTACAAACTCAGCACTTTAAATACATGCTTTTATTTTCTAAAATCATTTGTTTTATTTTACTTAGTACCCACTCTGTTCATTCCTTTTGGAGCAGATCGACACAGATCCATATAAACGTTAGTTAGGGCACAGCTAGAGTATTGTGTGCGGTTCTGGGATCCACATTATAGGAAGGACATTGCACTGGAGAAGGTGCAGAGGAGATTTACAAGGATGTTGCCTGGCCTGGAGAGTTTCAGTAATAAAGAGAGAGTGGACAGACTGGAGTTGTTTTACTTAGAGGAGGTTGAGAGGGGATGTGATTGAGATGTGTAAGATTGTGAGCGGCATCCATAGGGTAGACAGGAAGAAACTATTCCCCTTGATGGAGGGATCAGTGACCAGGGAACATAGAGTTAAGGTAAGTGGCAGAAGATGTGAGGTAAACCATTTTCACCCAGAGGGTGGTGGGAATCTGGAACTCGCTGTCTGAAAGGGTGATAGAGGCAGAAACCCTCATCCCATTGAAGAAGGATTTAGATGTGCCATTGCGATGCCGAGACATACCAAACTGTGGGCTTAGTGCTGGAAAATGGGATTAGAATTGTTAGGTAGTAGTTTTTGAACTGCATGGAGACGATGGACTGAAGGGCCTTTTTCTATGCTAGAGATCTGTATGACCCCATAATTCTATGACTTTACACACATTATTGCTGTAGTGAAACCTAAGCTTCACAATGGAGGGCAAAAATAACTTGCCAGTAATTGATGACAAAGAGACTAAGGTAGGTCAGGACCTAGATATGATCATTATCACGAAAGAGGTAATAGAGCTAAAGGTAAACAAGTCTCCTGGCCCTGATGGAATGCATTCCAGGATACTATAAGAGATGGCGGGAGTAATAGCAAATGCACTTGTGGTAATTTTCCAAAATTCGCTGGACTCTGGGGCAGTTCCAGCAGATTGGAAAACAGCCAATATGACAGCACTGTTCAAAAAAGGAGGTAGACAAAAGATGCGGAATTATAGACCAGTTAGTTTAATTTATGTAGTGAGGAAAATGCTTGAATCTATCATCAAGGAAGAAATAGCAAGACATCTAGACAGAAATTGTCCCATTGGACAGATGCAACGTGGGTTCATGAA